TGAAAACGCATGGTTGTGGTAGTCAATGGCACTTTACCAGCAAGCTTTTCAGGTACCAGGTCACTAAAAAATGTGAGATGAAAAGAAAAGCGTGTGAGCAGAATAAAAGCAACGTCATGGCACAAGGCTGGACGTGCGACTATGGTGCGGGGGCTGACTACAGCACCACAGGATATGCTGGTTACATTGGGTAACCTGTGAGTCTAAAAATTGAAATGTGAAAAGGACAATTATCAACTATGTATTGTTGAAATGTTGATTTCTGTCACCATTCGTTCTTTGTGGACGCGGTATGGTAAAATGCATTATGTATGAATGCATTAGTTACAGGTGCTATTATTAGTGATTAGGCTAATGTTCACCTGAGGACGTTCATATTCAGCATAAATGTTTATAGCACATTTTCTTAAACCAAATAATACCTTGTCACTTGATCATCTGTTTACATGTGTGCTTCAAAGCACTTGTAAACTTGCATAGCAAGGTGTAACATTTATTAAGACGTTCCAAGTTTTTGTTATATGTTTAATCCATTTAGTTTGCATTTTTGTCTTGAATCTCTCTAATCTTTTGGACACTCAAGATGGATTTATGTGATGATTATGTCCAGCTATTGCACTGGGCTTTTCACTTTCTAAGTAAGAGTTTTTCCATATCCATGCGTTTTATGCACAGCAGACACCAAGTAGGCTATATGTTAATGTTCACTTGATTTAGTGAGCGTAAAGCTACTTTGAAAAATCTACAATTAAACTATAGGTGTAGGCTATTGAGTCTTGGAATCATGCATCACTGGCCCTCCCTCACCATGAATTGTAATACACCATGACCTTCGTAATACATCTCATTTATAATGTTCACCATTATACGGTCTGTTGAAGAGACCCAAGTGTTGCTGTTCCCATGCCAGTGCTCGCTTTGCAGCGTCCGCTGGCACTGAGATACAGTATGTCACACTGGTGAATTGATCGTGTGACGTTGACGGTCACGGTCCTGTCTACGAGCAATTTGTAAAAGAATCCCCCTGCTTAACGACCAGTCATCGCTCAGGTACCAGTATGGTGCAACAAACAATATTGCAGACCTGTGGCTCTATTGAATGTAAACTAATACATCGAATCGAAAATATGATTTAAGCCGGTATGAATCAAGCACATGTGTTTATTATCAGATCGACAGCATACTTTCCTATTTCAAAATATATTTAAAAGTTATAGGATAGGTGGATATATATTATATTATGTTATATTAGCTCTTCAAACATAAACCTAGGCCTATTATAAGAAAACCAAAATGCGCATGCAAGGTGCAAAGCAGCAGCAGCACCCATTATAATGGGACGTGTTGCATTGACTGGCTCACCGCACAAGTGGCGTTATTCCCACGGCCCGTGCCTCCACTGCTTCATGTTGCAGCTTGCGGCGAGGCGCAATACACAACCTACAGTTAAAAGACTTGTTTTCTCCTTCAACTAGCAAAATGACCCCCTCCATCTCAATCTGAATGGGAGTGAATGGGGGTTTCCCAGACTCCGACCAGTCAACATTTCAGGTACCGGCATAATTTGTTGTGAGGTGTCTGACAAACGCCCTCTGACGCGCACTGTGAGGGCACACTGCCTTTACTCTGTTTCCCCATAATAAAGCCATACTAGCTGTCGTAAGTGGGTCGATCTCTTTATTGGTGAATTTATTTCTGTTCGTGAAAGCACTTAGGCTAAAGGACTTGCATTATGGTGCTGAACACCTGAAGGATTTAAGTCGAGTTTGTCTTAAAATATTATAGCCTATTTGGTATCGCATTCATAGAATGTTGGGCACATTTTTACGCACATTCAGAACTCTTTTTGACTACGACTATATGAAGTGTTAATTGATATAAACCAATGTAACTCAGCAATGTTGTCTTAACTTCTAGCTTCATCTTTATTTTACACAATTCTGCAGTCTAGAAAAAACAAACAATAGCTTAATAAAAGGCAAACATCAAAAACATAATTTTGGCACACAAATAAACCTCCCTTAAAAATGAAAACTAGGGTGAATAAGGATAGAGTGGGACATCATATAAACTGGGACAGCTTAATCCCGAGACATTTATAGCTTGGTCTGACAAGAGAAAATCTAAACTATTGTTACTAAGTCCTTGCAGAGAAACTACCTGATCAAAATCACACTTCATTGGTGTGACATCATAGATGAGGGCAGAGCAAGCTTCAAACAGGAAGCTCACCCCGTGAAGAACATGGGAAGATCAGTGATAGCTTTTTTTCTGTTTTGATGTTAAGGTTATGAAACTGTAATAAATAATGCACTGTGCCAAGTTGTGATGTAAATATGCATACTATGTACTGGTGATTCAAAATACATTAAAAAGTTGCCAATATTATGCTTACATTTTGTAATTCAGTCATTTTTTTATGTAGTCCCGCTTTACCAACCATTTTTGTTGTCCCGCTCTGGTTCTTGTAATATTATATCCTGTACATGTTTTCTTGTAGTACTGTTATTAGTACTGTTATTGGAGTGAATTCAGAAGAAGTGGGACACTTTTTACATTTAGGTCTCCTGTAAACTCTTCAGACATCTATCCAACATATTAGCCCAACATATGATACACATCGTCAGATATTTCCTAATCACACACTTTTATAGAATTGTCATTTGGGTACAATTAGGACTATAATAATGGTGTCCCAGTTTATCTAACCTGCTGTCCCAGTCTATCAAATGCGAACTGAAAATATGGTTCCCTCAGTGTACACAAATGGGTGTGTCATGCCTCCTGTGAATATGATATCAAAATGTATTTTTGTGTGATTAGGAAACATCTTGAGGATTTCAGAAACGTATCATGTGTTGGGCTAATATGTTGGATAGATTTTGAAAGAGGTTACAGAATACGGAAATGCAAAAAGTGTCCAACTTATTCCGAATTCACCCTACACTCCAGCACACATGGTTTCAAGACAACCAGAAAGACAACTTTTAGATAAAGGCAGGTGAATTCAACCTTTAATGTGAAAACAAACAAAAATGTCAAGAGATTATTTAAACGATGCAAGTTTAGTTTTGAACATTTTGCTAGCCTGATATTGTGTGGCTGCTTTTGATATTAATTGGCTAACCCCGCCAATATTTCACTAGGCGGTTAGGTAGGCTACCTGTTGCACTATAAGTATTGAATGTGATTGCATCCTTATCTTTGAGTGAGATCAAACAAAATTAATAACTTATCTGAAGTATTGCCTGCAATATGTGATACATTTCAACTCTGCACTGGACAGATCATCATCATCCCACAGATCATCCCTCATTGAGATGATCACCACTAGGCTTAATTAAAGTCAACAGGTATGATGCAGTTATACAAGCTTTCTTTATCATATCATAAGCATGTATAACCCATTTTATATCGTAATATAATCTCATAATGATGACTATAACTACAGCTATTCTCAGTCTGAAACCTTGCCCCTATATTCTAGGACATCATAACATAATAATAGGACCTCATAAGGGTTCATGTGTATGACACGTAATAAAACATCCCTGTTGGCAATGGGAAAATTAGGCCTATTTCCAACTATTCTATGTTTATCGAAGAGGAATTCAATATATATTTTTGCTGTAGCCTAATATTATTTTTGAGATGCACATTTCGTAATCACACTTGCAAGGGGCTCTCGATGTTTTGTGGCTGTTTTGTATTGTGCCCTTTTCACAATTATTTAAGATAAGAGCACTTCTTGTCATAAATTACTCGTTTACGGTGACAGAGGGTATGTCGCTATTGAGAGGCAAGAAACGCCCCTGCTTTGTCGGTAAAGTGCTCTCTTATTCTCTGTTGATTGTTGCGGCGTGAACAGGCGAGTGTCCACTGTGCAGAGCCAATGTGTAGGCAGAGCAGCATCCTAAAACCTATGACTGATGAACACATCATTATGTCCGCCTGTCTATCACTGAAATTACGTCTCATTTCAATGACATTATTCTCATACAAATGTTTACTCTGCGTTCTATGGGTTCTAATAGAAATTGGACTCCTCCAATAATTAAGTGCTCAGACCAAAGGGCTCTAACAGCTTGCTGCGGGCACGAGTGGTCGGCTATTGAATGGGGCAGGTACCTGCTTTAAGATGCCTGTCTTCATGAGGTGTCAGCGATGTTATCATTGTTATATGCCCGACCCTTTAATTACTCCATATTTTTTGTTCACTTTACACATTGTTTAGTCCCAATGGATGCAAGGGTGCAGTAGATGCAAGATAAGCCTATTCAATGCAGACTATTTATGTTCTTGTAGGCCTATAAAGCTCGAAATTGAATGCAATTTAGATTGCATTAACAAAAGATCAATACGAGAATTAAGACCTGGAGCCTCGGAAAGGACTCTGATGTTTATTACAATATAATAGCCTAATAATAATATATTATTGTGGAAACGTGCAACCAGATGTGGACACTTATGCTGCAAGCAAATAATGTAATAATTTTATTGAATCAAAAATCAATAAAGCAATGGGAATAATGCGATTACTTCAAAGAAAAGAGAAACCTGCACACTACTCTTGCTAAAATACAAATGTTCACAAAAGTTCTGAGGAAGGCCAAGAAAGAGGCCGACAGGTTAATTAAGCTTTAATAAGTAAATAACATATTAAAAAGTGATCCGTGCAAGAGCAGTGTACGAGTTTCTCTTAAAAATAACTGTATTGAATAAAAGGTACAATGTTAGGGTGGCTGCAGGTTTTGGACTTAGTTGGTCATTGGTCCTGTAATGCTTTGTTGCCCCTATGCTCAGTTTTCCATGTAGTGCTAAAAGGGGGTAAGCGCTGCGCCATAGAGTGGGGCGGGGGTGGAGTGGTAAGAAATTATTTTCTCTAGGTGCACCCTCCGCTGCGGAGCGTAGTGTATACTCAACGCTGATTGGCTGGCGTTTTTGGTTAATGGCACACGACTATGGATGTAGTTATAAGAGTCCTCGCGTGCCAGCCTTCAGCAAAGAGCAAACTTGCTGTTACTGGGCAACACGAAAACAACAGCTAAAAATGGACACTGTCTTGGATCCATTTACTGCACTGGACTCCTTCTCCTCCCCTTATTTTGATGACGATGATTTCTTTACTGACCAGTCCTCCAGGGACCACTTGGACACCGACGAGTTTCTGGATGATGATGTCGACTTTCTCACCAGCCATTTCCAAGATTACTACAAGGATAGCAGGATAGCGCATGATGGGGACTATTGTGATATTGGTAACTTGTCCTTCTCTTCCTCCTCATCTACCTTCTCGTATGAGTGCACTGACAGCACCTCAGAACTGTCGCCTCAGATGGGAGGAGATGGCCCGATGCTAAAAAGGCGGAGGCGGATGAGATCCGATAAGGAGATGCAACAATTGCGGCAGGTTGCCAACATCCGCGAGCGGCGGAGGATGCAGTCCATTAACGTTGCTTTCGAGGGACTCCGGTCTCACATCCCCACTCTACCGTACGAGAAGAGGCTATCCAAAGTAGATACTCTGCGCCTGGCCATTGGCTACATCAACTTCCTCGCTGAGCTCGTGCAGTCGGACATGTCCATCCGAAACTCCAACAGCGACGCACTGACTCAACCCAAAAAAGTTATAATTTGCCACAGAGGAACAAGTAAGAAGCCTACATTTCATATGGTTAGATAATGACTATGATAATGACTTAACTTTGAACTGTATTGTTACTCATTTGTTAAAGACTAATAATTTGTCCCCTTATCAGGATCTCCATCTCCAAGTGACCCTGACTACGGGCTGCCTCCCCTCGCGGGACACTCTCTGTCCTGGAAAGACGAGAAAGAGCTGAAAGACCAGAACGTAATCAGAACCGCTAAAGTCTGGACACCTGAGGACCCACGGAAACTGCACATGAAATCCTCCCTGTCCAATATTGAAAACGAGCCTCCTTTCAGCTTAATCTCAGCCCAATAAATATTATGTTATGTTTATGTCTAAAAGTATGTATTGTTATACACACATTGTAAATCCATGTTAATATATAACGTTCTCTTAACGTTGATTCTTATGTAACGTTGATTATTTACGTGTAAATATTATATTTATATGTCAATGTTCTCTATTCACAATTCAGGCAGCATGGCAATCATCATGTATAGCAACATGTATTTAATTGTTTCCATGATAATATGTTTTAATAGAATTTTGATGAATATACGAAAACCAAAATATTTTTATAGGCCTACTGAATTGTAAAAATATGTATATTTATATTCAATCTGATAATAAATGCTCTTAAATTATGAATACATTGTGTTGTCTGGTCTGTACCACTTTTCTTCATAGGCTGATATGCTTACATTTAATACATATGATTTGAAATCCAAGTTGTGAAGATAAATAGCCATAAAAGGAAAGTTATACGCATGCATAACAGTGCATAAAGCAATCAATCAACATGCATAAATAAATAAATCAACATGCATGAATCAATTAACAAAAGTTATATTTTAGAACGTGGTTGTGCACCTGAAAGTCAGTGATATCGAGCATTATACGTTGAAATGCATTGCACATTGGGCCTCAGTCTCAAGCCATGCATGTGATAACTCCTTCATAGGCCTACGATCTTAGAACTGTTGGTTATACACCCACAAACTTCATATAAAAACTACATTAGGTATGCAAATCAGATGTAAATTAAACTAACATGCAGATACAATCCAATGGCTTAAAATGCAGGGCCTGCAGCTACAAACCATAGCTGTTATCATGTTGATCTATTATATTGTTTAAAGGGGCATGACTAAACCGATGGCTTGCAGTAAAAGCTGTTAGCTTCAATGTTCTGCAGGTTCTTCAAGGCAAAACTCTTCCCATGGTAGCGGCTTCCCTTCAACGTGTTCCATTGCCATTTTTACGTCAGCTCTCTCCCATTTATGTAGTGGTAGCGCAGATATATGCCTGTGCCCAAACTTGCAAACACACATTCATACAACCAACTGGCTAAGGGCATTTCGGATAACACATGCATTTCGGATGGGGAAAAAAGAAAGGTATATTCATTTTCTGTATTAGTCTTTGCAATTCGATTATTTTCTTCTTGCTATATTATTATAATAATAATAATAATAATAATACGTATTATTATTATTATTATTATATTATTATTTTTATTATTATGGTTATTATTGTTATTATTATTACTCTACTCGAAATTGTTGCTAAATATTAAGGAGATTATTGTGTTGTTTTTCTAACTTGAAACTGGAGTTTAATCTTTTTACAAGTTTTCAGTGCATGTGCTTTTTGGGAATGACAGTGGACCTATAATCCAATCTCTTGTTGCATTACCGCCTCATTAACAGCGCAGTTATCCCTGTCCTAGACACAACACAAGATACCACGTAATCTAATTACATTAATTAGAAAGTCAAACGTTAGCAAGTCAGCCTTAAACGAAATAAAAGACCCAGGAAGTAGCTGGGCTTCATCCATTTTGTCGTGGGCAACATTTATATTTAATTTGGTGAAGTTGCAGAGAACAACAAAACAACAGTATAGCATCATTGTTTGGTCACCCCTAATTCTATTGAGATATTGTGTTTTTGTGTGCAAGCACAGTAGAAAACCCCTCAAAACATCCTTTAGTACAATACCAATCAAACGGAAGGGAAAGGTTTAAACCGTAAAACACTTGGGTCTCTATCTTGTCAATCTTGTGCTTGGTCTTGGCAAGGCTTAAAAGAGCACCATTTACAGGCTGACAGGTTTTATTCATTTTCTTACCCGGCTAAACATTCGAAAACCATGCCAAGCTCCAATTATGTTAAGAATAAGTTAGTGATACTGAAATGAAGTGCAATTCTCTAAAGCATTCGGGTAGCCTTTGACTGTATGTTGCTGACTGACGGAGGTGCTTTGGCATGCAAAGCAAGTTTATAGTCAGTAAATGTGTCACAAGGCATAGAAAACAGCCGTATGTACGGCAGTCGTATATAGAACCATGTGGCTCCAAGGTATGCCTGTGCCAACTTGGCAAAAACAAAAACACGAGGTTTATGGATGTGTTATGTCATTGTCCACTGTCATTTAAAGTGACACTCTTCCTAACGTGTTTGTGGTTTTTAACATATCAAGCCTATTGTTACCATTTGAAAGTTGTTGCAAATAAGAAATTACGCACCAGGGTGTTCATGACAAGCGCAGCCCTCTGCGCATCAGTTTGCATGCAACTCAGAGCCAACGAATGAATAACTGTTGCGCATAAATTGTAGAAGACAGATCAAAGATATGCAGAAATGTACAACAAAAAAGCTGTGATAGGCTAACAATGACAACAGTGATTGTAACAAATAATTAGGCTATATTGGAAAACCAACTTCTAAGAACATTAGGCCATTTCATGAAGGTATGCTAGTGCTACTTTATGATATCCAACACATTTCAGTCATATCTCTATTAATCAGATGAAAGTAAAATGGTTAAATGCATCATCCATCGTCTATAATTCTATAATAATCCGTAGATAAGCGTATGGTAAGCACTGGGAAGGACGCCTAACAAGATTCTCTTAAGCTGTAAGTAACTCTGCTGATACTTTGGATTATCGCGCATAAAAATATGGGCTCAGAGTCTGTAAATCCCCCGAACTCCCGCGATTTCATTAATGTATCTCCACGGTGGCATCGGGGTACCAGCTGCGAGGTTGAACAAACACCAGTTGAGTCTGCCCATGGGTAGTGTGAACCTCATGGGTAGCCTTTTAAATCCCATCGCACCATGCACCAAAACGGTCAAATGTCTCAAAATTATGATTGAAAAACATATGCACATATAATTCAATAATTATATGTGATAATTCAAAATAGATTATTGCGGTAGTATGGATGTTAGCACTTGGCTAACCAACAGGTGTTAGGACTTGGCCCGGGGATACGGGTACAGAGAGACCCATGGAGGGGAGGGCGAGGTTGCCAGAGAACGCTCTGACCAGGAGCCTCTCCTTTTACATGGCGTGGAGGCGCCTTACAATCCAAATGATAGGCCTATCTTTATTGCTACTCACATGTCCTAGGCTGTAACATATCCATCCCCGTCGAGGTTCTTTAGGATGCACCTGGTATTTCAAACTTGTTCTTTTTGTGCTTCTGGGTGCTGGACAGCAGCTGCTTAAAACAAGCAAAGAGAGAGGCCCTTACAATGTCTCCAAGACGTGTTGGCATGGTTTTCTCGTCTTTAATGTTCCATTAACCATTGTCTATACAATATGGGAACTGTAAAGCATGACGTTTTGTTATAATAAAACATGTTCAATGATACACTTGGATTGAAAGCTTTAATACGAGCCAGCAAACATTCAATCTCGTTGTGTCCCCCGTCTATCTGCAGGCAATTACTGCGGCCTTTTGCTGGGCCTTGATAAGCCAATTAAATTTATGTCTGCTAATTTTCCAATTAGAAAAAAGGACTTAGAGCTGGGCTGGCTCCTAAGGACATTGATTTTCTTACCATCACCTGGCGTTCAAACGGGTTCCATTTACCAACAAGGAAAATGTCAGGCGTTTCATTTGGCGACTCTTGTTACCATGAGCCTCTTTCCATCCTGCCCCATTGTTTTCTCCTGTTAATAACTCATTACAAGGATTTCACAAATCCTCCATTACATATGTTTTGTCTCCATATTTTGATCCGTAAGATTAAGCAGATGTTATGATTGAAAATTTAAAACTCCAGGGCTATTCTGTCTGAAAGAAAGAGGCGGACTCCGCGCCGAACTAACAAAGAGGTTGGGGAGATCTTCAGAAAAACATTTCCGACCAATAAACAGACTTCATCCTGCTCTATTTCAACCATTGTGTCATTTTTGAATAATTAAGGTTAATAGGAATAGGTTTGTGTACTTTCAATGCAAGGCCACAGGTGCGGGGTGACATGATGAATGATGTGCCTGATTTTTGCCAAGCTCGAGGGCCCTTCTCTTGGATGTTCAAGCTGATAGAAAATATTGGCATTTCTTTAATTCACAGCATTACTTTCATTCAGGACAAAGCAGGGTGATGAAAAGCTTATGCTGTAATGAAACACGCTACATGGTGGTCGCTTTGCTTCCTGAAAGAAAGGGCGAGTCAATGCCCAGGCGCGCTTTGGTTTGTGCGCAAGTACTCCATCTAAATTAAATAAAAGACCCTTTCCAACTTTTAAAAGACCGCATTTTAATGTATTAAAGCCTCCACGGCTGAATTCATTAAGCATATGGTGCTAAGGCACCAGTCTTTTGAACTGGGGAAGCCCTCGACATGGTAACTTGTGTTTTAGGGGATATTTAACTTCTCAATAGCCGAACTGATCATGGCAACAAGTGCTCCCAAGGCGCGCGCGTACAAGATGGTGCAAGGTGTTTTTAAAAGGAAAATATTCTTAATTGGAGCTTAAAACAATAGTAATTTCGCAATTTCAACACATGTGTAACCCTCATTGAAAAATGAACACCAGTTATTGATGAAAAATATCTTAATTGTGGACCCAAGGAGAGGGACATAAATACTCCAAAATCTGTGTCCATTTTGCGCATTGAGCTATATCCTCGGCTATGTATGGATAGGTTTGGGTGCGCATGGAGAGCTTCTCTATTATTTTATGCCAATTCTGAATCTAGTCTAAAGTACCCACATCACAGGTCGTGTACTTGGTCCATGTTCGCCTAATTTTCTTTAGTTGCTAAATTTTTCAGTTATACAGGCTTTGGTTTTCTAACATTAATTTCCTGTGCAGCAGTAGTAGTGTCAACGTTACCACATTATCCCTGTCTATAACCAAATAAGGCCTTTAATTATGGGGGGTTGGTCATTTAGTTCATGCCATTATGGGTTTATGATGGTTAAATAAAACTATAAATCCAATACGTTTACGCGTAACGGATAGTTCCATAGCCGAATCTTAAAATGCACTGAAGTTTACACGCACATATCTTAAATTATGATGATCATATGCAGATATTTAGGTTAGATATTCTGACACGTTCAGATGAGCGCACCAATCAGAGCAATCTAAAACCACCACTCAGCCTATAGGCCAACTATATTTTAGCATTGTTTTAACCAATTTATATCAAATTTAAACCAAGACACGGTCAA